GCACTTTAATATATATGTACAGTACAATTTAATAATGTATTTGAAAACAGCATGTTAATAATTATGTATTTATATTTTATATGATACCTATATAATTCTATTTATTTTTAATTATTTTTTTATTTTTAAATCATATTCGTAAGAGAACGTCATACCTGCATGTGTTATCTCTGTATTATACACGAATGACATAAAAAATTTTCATTTAACAGTTTCAATTGTATGCTCTTAGTTTTGAAACTATAGAGTGAATTTACCTAATATAACATTTAAAGGTAAGATTATTATCTAGGGGGMCCCACGTAGACATTTGTTGACATTATTGTTTTTAAGTAAGTTATAATCTTTTTGAAACTGTTTATTTTATAAAATGATCGTAAAATAAAATACATTTAAATAATAATATCCATAGGTGAAACTAAAAATCAGGTCAGTCAGACCATGATMTGATCTAATACTATAACTGAATAACATATTGACTTAATAAAATTTAAAATTTAAATAAAAAACTCATCTTGTTGTTTAAATTTTTTCTTATATTTATTATTTAGCCGATCCTAATAAAATTTTCTAGTTTCACCCATGAATCATGATAATATCAATAAAAGGCTGCGTGAGGTCATATATATAAAATAATCTTACCTTTAAATTTTATAATTGGTCAAGTCRTTCTAATATCAAAACTAACAGCAAACTATTTAAATTGGTGAAAGAAATTAAATCTATTATGTCGTACGAGTCTAAGACGGAAACAATACATGTGACGTATTTTTAAGACTCTCTGGTTAGTGGTTATATATCTTCGTAAAKAATAAATATATCGTTACGTAGGTAAGTTATAAAAGATATTTGGAAACTGCTGTTAGCTAAATGTGTTACACAACAACAGTATAAGGTGCAAAAATCGAATAAATCTTCCACAAGTTTTGAATTTTGGCGTAAAACTTTATACGATAACGGTATGAAAAATCTAATTTCGTTTAGGAAAATAGGGACTCGAGTTGGGTCGATGATTAGTKGTCGAAAATACTTTAGTAAGATGCGTATTGTATAAACTTTGTAATTGGGGTAAAAAGTTATTATTCTAACTCGATATACTACAACGTCAAAAAAACACATTAAAGTTGGAAAATCCATAAAATGAATCTATATATGCGATATAAGTGTTTTCATATTAGGTTATTAAATGTTTGAGTGCTTCTATAATGTAACGTTATACGRGATTTTTTGCTTACATAATTAAATATAAAGATATATCCTATATTTAGTATCTTATAACTCGGGCTAGGAAAATACATGAGACCTAAAAGGTAAAAATAATATTTTGTTATGCGATAAGTCTCATGACATATATATATATATATATATATATATATATAGAGAGAGAGAGAGATATCGCTATAGCGCGTGGTTTGTTATAAAATAAAATTTTGACTATCTACGCGTGGCAGTTGTTGTAGCAGACGTATAATAATAATATTACGTGATCCAGTTCAAAAACACATATAACTACACATAAGTATAAAACGGTAATTGGCGGTGTGGGGGAGGGTAAAAACAATAAAATATGGTAAATTTATACGTATTGCTGTGTGTATAATGTATATAACAATTCACAATAGATGACGTAATTTTGAGTTTATACTCAAATATCTCGAATACTCATTACTCACACACATTCTTATATAATATATATGTATATCATTTATTGGACTGTTTAATTACTGAAGCACTTTACGTCAACCTGCAGGTTTTCAGATTTAGCAAGACAGCAGTCCCTTAAAAAACTATGTTAATTATCTTTGGTTAGTTACTGATGATAATACATATATATGAAAATTAGTTTCGAAAATGATATTATTTTATAACATTTCAAATTTTGTTTCATAGAGTAATAAAGAGGAAAATTAGGTACTTATTAGTTATTAGAGTAAAAGTAGTGATATATTTATAATATAGGTACCTATAACCTATGTAATAAGTGAATAAATGTCACTGTCAAGCATAATATATAACATATAATGTGGGAGAAAATATGGTGTTAGGAAAAAACAGGTAGATAAATMTTGCAGTTTAATTCTATGTACTGCTCATTTAGTCATAATTTGAATCTTGCAGGAAAGAACYAAATTAAATATTCTAACCTTCTTCTTCTATTGATGAACAGATAAATTTTCTAATGTTGGTTAGTTTTGAATCAATTAATATGAAGTATGAATAGAAAAATACTAAAAAAAATGATAAAAAATTMACYTGTAAAATATGRATATTTGTGTTAGGTTTTGTGATTATTTTCGTAAAAGTCCTTGTGATTTATTTTCCTGGGTCTTGCTAATCCTATAAGGACGGCTCTGGTTTTAACAACCAARCCACTGTAAGTTATATCGTTAAAACGCTTTTAACCATATACTTTATATACTTTATAATATTTACTATTAATATAGGATGATTCAAAAATCTTTATCTGATTACGAATTGACATAGCTCAGTAGTCAGCAACCGTAAATTTCAGGTAAGTAACCTACTTACATAGTATATACCATAATAATGTAAAATATTGAATGGTCAAGAAACGTTAGCGAATTGTCGTCAAGAGAAAAACATTTAAAAAAACGTATTTTATATTACTTGAATATTAAAAAAATTATTTTTACATCAGCTCACCCCCATCCCTCTTGATTTATAAAATAAAATAATCACATCAGATTAAGATTTTTGGATCTGTCTATATTATATTAGAGCCTAGGGATTTATATTATCGATTATATACTATCACGCGTACCTATATCTATAATATTATATGTTTAAATATATTTATCTAATAATATATAGTTTAATATACAATAATAATTAACGTAATACCTAATTAGAGTTCGGAAGCTAGGGGCCTAAAATGTATATGTGTGCGAACATTTGTTTTTCATAATTTCAAAAAAATATAAATATATATTCATTATTATTATTTACCAACGTTGTTGTATTATGTCACTATGTCAGCGTATCACTACATTAAACCTAACCTTTAAACAATGTTTAATTATAAATAACTATGATGATTTTTATTTTTATTTTCTAAGTTATATATAAATATTAGATAAGTAATTTATAAAAAACTATCAATTATTTTTTTTATAAAACATTTAACATACGCTTTTTGCATAAAATTTTACAATTTTTCGATTCTTAAGCTATAGTCGTTGTAAAAAATATAGAATGTATTTCTAGCTTTCGATCATTTGCAATAAAAAAAATCCGCACTCTGAGTATATTATACATAAGAAAAACGTAACTATTCTACAACTTCCGAGCCCTTTATGGTACCTATATAGTAATATAATTGAATATACAAAAGGGTTTTCTATTCTATRATCAATGTGGTAATATCATTTATGCACCATTACGTATCGGCTGCACTGCTGCGATAACGCGCGGACAGACTGGCCGTATACGTGTGATCCACCCCGGAATCGCTAGCTATACAATAATATGTAATAATATTGACGTTGACCTGTGCAGGGGATGTTCGTGGTTTCACTGCCGTTTGCTGTACTGCGCGGCGGTTACTGGGCAATCGTGGCCATGATCGGAATCGCGTACATATGCTGTTACACGGGCAAGATACTGGTGGAGTGCCTGTACGAGCTGGACCTGAACACGGGACAGCGGGTCCGAGTTCGCGACTCGTACGTGTCGATCGCTCGGGATTGTTTCGGGCCGGTGTGGGGCGCCCGGGCCGTGAATGTGGCCCAGATGATCGAGCTGCTGATGACGTGCATACTGTACGTGGTTGCGTGCGGCGACCTGATGGAGGGCACGTTCCCGGACGGCGTGATCGACACGCGCAGCTGGATGATGATCACGGGCGTGCTGCTCATACCACTCGGGTTCCTCAAGCACTTGCACCACGTGTCGTTGCTCAGCTTCTGGTGCACAATGTCACACATAGTCATCAACATCATCATACTAGGCTACTGCGTGCTGGAGCTGCCCGACTGGGGCTGGAGCAAGGTCAAATGGACCATCGACGTGGAGAACTTCCCCATATCGCTTGGCATGATCGTGTTCAGTTACACCTCGCAGATATTTCTTCCCACGCTCGAGGGMAACCTGTCCGACCGGTCAAAGTTTGACTGGATGCTGGAGTGGAGCCACATCGCGGCCGCCATATTCAAGTCGCTGTTCGGTTACGTGTGCTTTCTGACGTTCCAGAACGACACGCAACAGGTGATTACCAACAACCTGCACTCGCCCGCGTTCAAGGGCCTGGTAAATGTGTTCCTGGTGGTCAAGGTACTGCTGTCGTACCCACTGCCATACTACGCGGCGTGCGACATACTTGAAAAGTCCTTCTTCATAGGGCCGCCCGCTACGCCGTACCCGAGCATCTGGCACGTGGACGGCGAGCTCAAAGTCTGGGGCCTGGCGTTCCGAGTGGCCATCATTCTGTGCACCGTGTTCATGGCCATCTCCATACCGCACTTCGCCATACTGATGGGCTTCATCGGCAGCTTCACCGGCACCATGTTGTCGTTCATATGGCCGTGCTACTTCCACCTCAAGCTGAAGGGAGACTCACTCGAGTGGCGCACCATAATGTTCAACTGTTTCGTCATATTTCTTGGCTGTCTGTTCGGCGTCATCGGMGTCTACGACTCCGGCACGGCCATCATCAAAGCGTTCCAGATCGGGTTGCCGTTCTGAGCAGTAGATCGTCCTGCAGCATCCACGTCTCCACGCGCCCTTTCCCCTCCAAAATCCGTATCCGCGATCCACGTACCAACCTGTGCAACACATCCACTAACTACACCGACTAACACTCATCACACGTCCATCATCAAAGTCTTATTATTTATCATTATTTTATATTTTTCMACCGCACGYCCGAATCCGATATATTTGTTATTATAAATGATCATGTTACTTACTTTGCAGTTTTTTGCCGACGACTGGCTCGGACCGAACATTCAAACATAAAAAAAAATAAAAATAATGACAATAGTAAATAGAATAGGCACCTACCAGTTTTTCATTAAATTAAACAATAAATGAACTGTGAATGTGGATCCAACAGAATCGGGCATTTGATTAGGTTCGATTCAGTGGCGTAATTAGGGGTGTGGGGGGTAGGGGTTCAAGTAGATTATTTGTAGTTTTTTTTAAATTAGTTTATGGATCGATATAGATTCTAAATTCGATTAGGTTTTGTTAAAAATCCATCAGTTTGTAACATAACGTAGTACGTATCATTCCAATCATCGTTACGTGCCGATGACAATTAATAAAAAATTTACAACGAATGAGTGAGCCCTGTAGGGGTTGTTCTGGTTGTCTTCGTGTTACACGTTTGGCTAAAAWTGATTCGGTTCAAGTAGGACGTAGGTTGTAATAATTGAATAACTCCTTAACTTTTCACCGACGATTGTGGTGACGAATATCGAATACCGTGACTTTAGCCTTTGGGGGGACCGACTACCTTGTATAATAATATATTGCTTGATAATTTATTATGATTTAATYATCAAATGATAATTTAGATTATAATAGATATTGTTTACTCGCCCATGGCCTACTCCACAAATTCATTATTGTTATTGTAACATTTGTAACACCCACGATTCATATATATCTAGGTCATTATTGTTGTACCTATTATGTTTGAAAGCAATGAAAGCAAAGTTTTAGTTAGACATCTAAGCCATCTTACAAGCTCCTCGCCGGCCAGTGTGACTCATCATCTCGGAACACTCCAAAAAGTTTTCAAGCCACGACATCTTAATAGGAGGTGTTCATAAGTATACCTATGTAAGTAATATTAGTAACCTGTCTACTTACTCGTCAAATTTTTTTTTTCGTTACCGCTATGGAATTTTGACTTCTTTCCTCTTCAGGTGGCAATACGTATCATTTATTATTTCGATATTATGCAGTACTTGGTAGTTAGTCGTTTTGAAATCTAATCGCATTCACACATCCCGCTTTTAGTTATTATAATTTAATATAATTTTTGTTGTTATTGCAGTTTACAAACTACGATTATACTTAATGAAGTTATTAACCTGCATTATTTAGTTCTATACCCTGTCAGGTATGCCCACTATATTATATAATATACAAATATTAATCCAGCGTCAAATATATTTAAATACCTATACGTCAAACACGCTTAGACGATATTATAATTATTATTGTACACCGGTAGGGAGTAATAACTAGTTAGGTATGTGATTTTTACATTTTTTTAAATTATAATGAAAATTAATAGAATTATTCAATTTTAATTACCTATGTAGGTAATGTATTAGGTACATATTATTATATGTATAAAAGTATATAAGCAATTTTTTTAAAGCGACGGTTAGACCGTTGTAGTTTGTGTCTTCCGATATATATAATATATATTATATATGTGTAATTGATATTGTGATAAACAACATTTGTCTTCCAGGGCTTTATAGCCCATATTACCAAACAAATTATTCTTGAATTTGAAATATTTTGACGACGAGAATGTTTGGTRGTTAAAATGTTAAATTGCCGTTTTAACAATAAATGTAATGTTTATATTATTATTAAATTTAATTAATTAAGTACAACCGTTTATATATCATTAATATTGTATAACATTAAAATTGTGCTGTTTGTAGCAATTTATTGTCTTCCATTATAAAAACGTTTCTAAATGTTGATGTTTGATTTTCAAATGGATCTGACCGAAAAATATAAATCCATTTGGATTCCAGGCATCTTTATACTTTGGATAAGTAACGTTCATACTATATATTAAATTAGCGCTTAATTGTTAAATAATGTCAATTGCAAGTCTTCCAAAATAAAAATAAATATTTATCACCTATAGTGATTAGTCAAAATAATTATGTTATTATATTATACTGTCGTAATTTATAATCATGTTAATAAACTGGCTTATATTATTTATAAGCATTTACTCACATAATATAATATTTTGTCGAGTTATGACATTACTATTATTATTATACAAAACTAACAAAGTTTTTTTTTTTTTTTTTAAGAATAAGTAGTTTCAATTAAAACAATTGTTTTATATTCATATGTTTATAATAATTTTTAAAAATGAACAAAGAGAAAAATGTGAACCACATACACTTTAAAACATTGTTAGTAGCTTGTTTATCAAGAAACCGTTTGATCGTATTATTATGATAATTTRTAATATTTATGTATTCACTTTTAAATACCTACTTAAAGTATATTTAATTAATTATACTCTTTGTTATGTTTAAGTATAAGTAAAAATTAWATTATATACAACACGAGCATTATTTCGTTTTATCTAAGACTGCTACTGTCTTCCATAATTTATACCATAACTAATTCATTATTATTGTATACTCTTTCAGTATATTTAACAAAATATATTTAATCTTAAAAAGTGATGTTTTTATTTTTCTAATTAAAAATTTTAATCGGTACATATATTAATAATTAATACATTTATTATGTAGGCAGTTAGAGTACACACATACATTGTTTAGTGGAACACAGTTGTTTGAATTATAATAATATTTATAGAAAATTTAAATAGTCAAATAGTTTTTTTTTAATATTTCAGGTGTAACAACATTTTATACCCAGGTACCTGAATTATTATATTAATTTTGTGATATACATATTATAGAACATAAGACTCACAACGAATAAGGAGCTAATTTAAAGTTTATTAACTTTCTGGTTTTTCCTTTTCTGTGACAAACAAAACAGAAAATAATAATTTTTATTGAATTTCAAAATAACATTTCTCAAMGGAAATTAATGTTTATAAATCGTTATCTTAAAAAATTGTACTATTTGACCAAGTTCCTTATTTGAATATGAGATTTTTCATTTTTTATTTAGTTAATAAACTTCATACTTATTTAGAATTCTTATAATATTCATTTAAATTTTAATAAAAAGTAAATCAATGTTATAATTTATAATAAATAGGAATGGTATGTATGATTAATCATATTTTAAACCTTTTACTCATTACACTAGACTATTAAAAATTTAATGTTATGCATTAAAGATTTAATAATGGATACAAATTCATAAAAAAAATTATTTTTTATGTTGACCTATTTATGAAGTTGTTTTATGTTATTTTATGGAATACTAAAATATTATTAGACACTTAACTTATTGTATACAGACAATTATTAATACAAAAAAAAAGTAACAATGGATCATTTAAATAATATGAATTCGTAAATACATATTATAATTAGATCTTAGTAATATAGTAAAATTCACACTATAATAGTACAACATTACAAATTTTATCAATTCCAAACACGTACTTATACAGTAACAAACAGCTAACATTCAGTAAGATACTATCCCAAATTATTTTTACAAAGGTAAAAATAATAAATCTCAAGAAGTCATTAATAATTAACGATAAGATAATATTTAATTACCAAATTGTATAAGGAAAAACATACAGATATTATGTAAAAAAAACCGTATAAATTTTTTAGACAAGCAATGCAGGTGCATTTTTTTTTCCAGGCCACGCTTCTTTTGCATATTTTTTCTTTTTAGGCTCTGTTGAAACAGGTTCAACCTTTTCAGATACTACTGGATTGGGAACAGCTATTTCTTCTATACTAGGGTTAATATCTACATCTGGTGCAGGATTTGGTAAATTCATACCAAGACGATTACCAATGGAGGATAAGAAACCATGCTGCTTATTGTCACTATCTGGACCTAGGAAGGTTTATAAAACAAATAATGAATAAGTCACTATATAGTATATATAATATCAATAAATTTAAAAAGATTAATTCTAACCAGGGATATCACTGTAAAGTGAATTGTGTAAATGTGCACCAGGAATCATATTTTTCATGTAGTTTTTATTTTGACCATTGGTATTATTTTGGTCAATAGCAAAACCCATACCATCTTTGAATTTCTGTAAAATATAAGAAATATAAAAGTTTGTAATGGTAACATTAAAATCTTTTATGTAATATTTACTTTATTAGGTATGACAGTAGTTCTAATTAGATTTCTGAAACGACCAACTGATGGATCAATGTCTTCTGGATTGATTATCTGCTCATCTTCATTGAAATGGACTCCTCTTGTACGTTTTCGTTTTGTTTTTAATGCATCATCTGATATACCAAGCATTGAAATGCGTCGATTTTGTGCCGTATTAAATTCAGTTAAATTCTGTAATACAATTTTAAAGATACTTTTGGAATTTTAATTTAAATTTTGTATACATACATCAAGCTCAAGATCCGTTTCTGGTAATCCTAATAAACTAGATGCATGGTCAGATTCTCTCTCTAATTGGTCCATTATTGGACGAGGTCCAAAAGCTGATGTCGTTTGGGGACGTTCTCGAATAATGTAAGTTCGAGTAGATGCACCAAAATGAAATTGACTGTTAATTGGTAATTGAGTGGGTTTATCTGCTTCAATTCTAATGCTACCAATGTATGTACCATGAGCTAAATTAAATTTAAAATAATAATTACATAAATAATGATATAACTGGCTAAAATTCAATAAACTTCCATCTAAATGATGAACATTGGACATACAAAATTCCAGAAATATAGCAGATAAGTACATAAGATAAATATTAAATTAATTAAATATATGATTTTAAAAGACTTATAAAATAAATAAATCAAAACTAGTGTTACATTTATATTTTTGATTACATTTTTGTTTAAACTTATTGAACTATATAAAGATGATATATTTCGTAGGGTGTTTTACTTTTTCATTTWAAATAATTTTGAGAACATGAAAGCAGCTAAGTTAATTTATATCTAAATGGCAGTAGAGTAATTTAAAAATATATATATAGAATATCTATTAAATAACAGTACAATAAATGGTTATTCCAACTTACTAGATCCAAGATCAACTAAAAATGCTCTATTTAAATGTTTGTGGTAGACAAATGCAGCATGAACTCTTGAACATGATTGATGGTCAATACAAAAGTCACTCATTTGTGCATTACGTCCAAATAAGTAGCATTTTTTCTGGTCCAACATTAGTTTCTAAATAATAGTGTACAATATTTTATTTATGATTCAATCAGTTATATGGTTTTATAAACACAATGAATCTCACTTGAATTAATTTGTCTCCTTTTAATACGTCCAAGTGTAAWCCTACAGGAGGTTTACCCGCCCTTAAAACGAAAAATATAAATTATATATTTTTATATTCATCCACATAATGTAACAATATAACACTAAATGTTGAACCACAGATAAAAATAAAAATGTGTGTGTATGAACAACTCTTACCAATTGGGAACATCATAATGATTAGCCATTGCAAATTATAATAAACAAATAATTTTATAATTAAATTAAAACAAACATGATTACTACTGATTATTGAGATGATTACAGGTCAAAGCCAAATAAACTATATATTATGAATAATAATTATTTAAAGAGAAATTAAAACGTAAAGAATAAAAATACTGCAAATAAGCTGATGATTTACTGTATAATAATTATATTGTTATAATAGATTAACACCGAACGAAAAAAATTATAAATTATCAACTTATGAATACACTAGACAGTAAGTTGAAGTAAGTTGTAGACGGTCATAACTTCTGAAATTCTTTATCCTAAAGCCGTACTTTTCTTATCAAATTAGGTATCTTATCATGCATGTAAACAATTTGTAAAATATTGTTACGACCATGGTAAATACCATAGAATATTTTACTACTCCRTGGTAAATACCCGCGAAAACATTGAATACGAAGATAACTTTTTTAAACATTTATTTAGTTAAACGTTAAACTATAAATAATTAATATTTAAGAAAGATAATGATTATTTACTATGTTTTAACTTATAATTAGGGTTGCCAGATTTCAAAAACTTAAAACACCAAAMCGAGACATTATATTAAATAACCTTTTTTTTTCGTATAATTTGTTTATTATCGTGTTCAATTGTAATTATTGTAGAACTGCTTTCATAATTTAATACTAGAAGTTAATAAAAATAGTAAAAACCTTTTTTTGTAAAATTATACAAGAGGTAATAATATCCCATATTTTTAATTAAAAAATGTATTAACAAATACAATTTTTTACATAAACTATACATTTACTGCATTTATATTTATTAATTGTTAGTAATAACCTAATGTTGATTTTCGGTTGAATTAATAAATTGTTTTCAATACAGCTGTATTACTTTTAATTTATAAATAAAATTCATTGCAAGTTAAACCCAAAATTCTATGTATATTATTATTCTATGTTTTATTATTAAACAAAATAATATTAAAGTTATTTTCTCTTGTCTTCCATAAATTGGGACAAAATTAATGACCAGCCGGGACAACGGGACATCCTGTAAAAACTGAGACTGTCTCGGTCAAACAGAGACGAATGGCAAGCCTACTTATAACCATTATTTTAATCAATATTTGGTAGGTATCCTGGTAGTATGCTACATACTGCAAACTATGACATATTGACATAGGTACCTTAAACTGGGTTCAAAACTCATCGTATCGTTTTGTGATCTATATGTAATATTTAATACTTAGGTAACAAAATATTTATCACRTGTTACCTTTATATACCTATTAAATATATAGAACAGTGAGTTATAAACCCCTCTTTAGGTACTGTCATATTCTTATAAAAGTTGTACCTATTTTTAGTTATTTATTTTAGTGGTGACATAAACTATTCTTACAGTTTTTTGATAATTAGCATTTTATRGTTAGGTATCATTATACTATATAAGCATCTCAGATTTGTAATTTACTATTCTGAAAATCATCTGACTGAAAGATAATTAAATTTATAATTGAAAAACCATAAGCATATTTGTTGTATTTTGTTTAGTGCCTACAATAGCTAGATATGATACTTGTCTTATCTACTTATAATATTATATTTAAATTCTGCAAAATCGCGCTGAGCGTACGAACCAGCCGCAGCTACCACCATCCAGGATTTTTGGCAACAAATCCTTGCCACACATACACAAATACGTGTTACGACCAAGTAAAAATCTACAAAATAATAAATAACAATATTATATTTATATAAACCTACTTCTTTACAATCAGTAAATATTAGTAACACATAATATTTACTATCAGATTTTACAGAATCGTGTTAAATTGTAAATAACTAACATTAAATTGTGAATAGTTAAACTGAAAACTAATAATAAAATAAATCTTAAATTGTATATTTTATATTAATACTCAGCAGTCAGCGGTAGACGATTGCAAACGATTGTCAATGATTCAACGAACTTATATTTTTTCCTGAAATTTTTTTTTTTTTTATTGAACATAAACATCGGCTTCTGGGTCATTAATTAAAACGATTTTTTTTGTTTTTTGAATGACATTTTCAGTGTTAATTGTAATTTTTCATATCGTTGTATAAAAGGGTACTTATTTATGTTTTTCACAGAACTTAGGACTTTTAATTTTATAGCACGCTTTCTCTTAGTTCTTACACATGCAGTAGCTAGTAATGCCAATATATATAGGCAGATATATATAGGTACTAGGTAGGTATATAAATCTAATAATTTAAATGTTGAAAGAAACTCAAACTATAATATACTGATGAAAACGATATAGAACAATATAACTAAAACTATGGAAAAATTAGACTTTGATGATATTAAGTATTTCCAGAATTAATTTTTAAAAAAAAATTAAATAAACTACAAGGGACTATCTTGTCGTATACGTTCTTCCCAATTTAAATCTTTATCACCATGACTTAATGGTAATTTATTTATTTATTTATTAACAATATTAAAATTATTAATAAAGATAAGCACTTCTTTTGTTGTTTAGTACATTTTTGATTGTGCATTTTGTCATTGGTCGAAAATTCTCGGGTTCACAGTTTCACATATGGTTTTATATTTTCCTGTCACGTTTCAAAATGTCATCTGCCCTAAGTTTGTGGCGGCCGTTAAGGCAAATTTGTGAAAAATATATGTGGTAAGTACAACTTCAGATTTACTTCCAAAATATAATATAGTCATATTATTATAATATAACAAATACAATATAAGCCATAAGGAATATGAGAATACGATGCTATAGGTACCTAAAAATAACTGATATCAAGTAATAGATACCTAGGAAAAAATATTTAAACATTTAAGGTATAAACTACGCGATGATAACATTTTGATTTATATGATTGACCATTGACAAATTTAATTTAAATCAATAATTACATTTTTAAACTAATTGTCATCAAATGTTAGGATTTTTTAATGAGAATCTTAATGAGTTTTTGGTACTAATTTAAATTAAAAATAATACATCACTTCTTACCAGCAATATTTGTCAATAATTTCATCATCAAGTGCACATGTGACATGTGTTAAACTGATAAATTATGATTACTATTTTATGATCAGTAACAAATCGATACGGCAACGTTACATGAAAAATTATGAAATGTATAAGTATGAATGTATCGATGGTAAAAATGTTCACTGACGTGTTATTCAAAAATGTGCTGTCGATGTAAAGACCGTTTGCAATCGTATATGAAACTTAGTGTAGTCATCAATTTTCATTGGCAGATTGTTTTTCACGGCACTTATATACTTATATCCGGAGAAAATGAAAATCCACAAAGCTAGGAAACGTTATGTGCAGAGGTCTTAAATGAGTTCAGCTCAGAATCATATTTTTGTTACTCATGAATTCATGATTAATCATAATAAGATACCTAATTAGATTTTGGATACTTACAAATTTAATATCAAAACACGTACCGTAATTACGCTAACCTAAGTATTGTCCGTATCTATATTATGTATTATATACATACAAACGCAGAAAATCTATTAAAAATGTTTGAGTATTATTCATGAAAAGTTTGAATCACCTACACATGTTTTTCTTTCTTTTTTATACATAAATAATTCTCGCAATCTCGCATATTATATTATTATGTTTTTGTTTCATTTCTATAACTATCCTAACCAAACATTAATCATAATATTTTCACCTCAATATCTCATACATACATTAAAACGAACAAAGTTAAAA